TTTTAACAAAACCATTATACCCTGATTTCCCATTTTCAATGGGTTCAGGGTATAAAAATTTCTGCTACAGCTTAGCTAGTCCTTGCAAGAATTTAAAGAAATCATATTTAATGAATGAGTTAAATTAAATAAAATTTATTATAAATTTATTGACCCCAAAATCGTCTTTGTCATAACTGATTCGTTTTAATGAACAATAATATTTGCCTAATTGAAATTAGTCACATTAAAATCTGGAGGCTCATCTAAAATCTGCTCTAACGATTGTCGAACTGAAATTGAAGGAGTCAATACCGTTTTATCGTAATAATTTTAATGTAAATACCAAATATCAAAAAATGCTCATGTATATGTAGTTATTCATATATATAGCTCTAACAAGAATTAACATTCTTTACATTTACTGTTCAAAACAAAGACATAGCTGAGCAACTACCTTTAAAATTACGCATCATTATTTATATTTGTCGTTTCCATCTCTCAAGCTATTTACTCTTGATATGTATGTATTTATAGAATATTCCCAGTATATTGTAATATGATTAGGAAATTAATTAAATTTTCCATCAATATAGTTTGATGCATAGTTAGCAAGCCATTTCTGCCTGTGGGCCATTAACAATTTATTGTAATATAAGAAAATACAAGCAAAACAAATTATATACTAAAAAAATAATGTGCATGCATAATTGATGTTCATAGTTGAGTAATGTAGTAAGCATTAAACATGGGCTGATGACAAAAAGTTCACTTAATATGTTTAAGCACTTCAAAGGCTTTCAACATGCCATGGCAGTTTGAAGGCCGTAAAAAGTTAATAAATGGCATGCGAATAGCTCGTAATTGTAAATCAAATATAATTCAAGCTGGAATCATTGCTTTAATGAGTTCTACTCGGCTCAAGCCATGCATTGTTAATTTCCTGTATGCCAACGAGCCTTAATGCAGCTTCTTCTGCACTTGCGGTGCCGAACGCTCGCTGCTCCGATTGCCCAAAATATTTTGGCCGACACAGTTGACCACAAGATTGTTGCTATGTTCAGTGGTGTTTGGGTGTGTGTGTGTGTATGTGATCAGGTGGTTGTTGTGGCGTGTGTGTGTGTGTGTGTGTGCTTGCCAGACATTTGCAAATTTCCGTTGCGGTCTGTGCAGTTTATTAGGCCAATCTGCACGCAATCAGAGCCGCTGCATATTTTCATACTCGTCGCAAATTTCCGTTTAATTTTCGCCGGCGACAAATTGACGTGAGTTAACGAGTGTGCGTGTCTGTGTGTGTGTGTGAGTGCTGATAAGGGCATAAGTGAGACAGACACATGCCGCTCACATACAAAATCCCTCGACAAATTGTCATATAATACGTTACACTCGCCGAAAAAAAAGGGTATGGTTGTATGTGCACACAGAGAAAAATATGTAACTGCTGCCAAAATCAATTTTAATTTAAGCTACTTTTTAAACGAGTTCTATCTCCATAAAAATATATTGCACAATAATATTGTATAATAATAATTATTTTATTATAATATTTTAATATAAATATAAATAAAGTATATTATTTGCTTAAAAAATACAAAATTTAATTTGAAGAAATATTCCGAATGTGCATTTAAAGATATGTCCAACATAGCATTTCACACCTTCAGCTTTTCGCTAAGTGTACTCATAAATCTGAGGCGAATGACCACAGAATTCACACTGGACTACAAAAAAGGGATAGCTGCTGCAGCGGGCCGCAGGGCGGGCACAAGGCTGGACAAATCTGTGCTGTCCGATTTACTGGCTCAGCTTCTCTATGCCACTGCCATTGCCACTGCCACTCCTATTGCCACTGGCAGTGCTGCCCCTCTGTGCTGTGTGCTGTTAGCTGGCATTAATGGCATTTTGTCATTTCGCATGCAAATCTAATATTACGTATACGTCATGTGTGCTCGCCTGAGCTCCTCCCTGCCTGTCCGCCTGTCCTTCTGCCTGCCCTCTGTATGCTTGTTTGTTTGTTAGGGGTTTTTCTACGCTTCAGGGCGTTTACTTAACGCTCTGGGGCTTTTGGCCAACAGTTTCTGTGTGTTGGCCACGTCCTCTGCTCTGCTCTGCTCTGCTCGACTGTGGTGTAAAATTTGATAACAAACCACCAAACTGGTTGCTGCTGCTCTAGTTGCCGTCGCTGCTGCTGTTTCCACTTGCCATTTCCTCCTGCATAATTGATGCATTGAAAGCAAGAGTTCACTCCTCAACGGCTGGCATATAGTTGCCTTGGCAAACAGCAAGCCCAGCTGTGGGCGGAGTGTGAAAGAGCTGTTTCAGCAGATACTAGTCAAAGGATTGGGACATGGAGTGCGGTCCAGCGATAAAGCATTTTTCGGTTTTGCTAAATGTAACTTCATTTTTCTTCTGCCTTATATTCCCTATCAGGACTGCATCAGATGATTTAAATGTATAAATTAAACTAGTTTCACATGTGTCCAGATTATGTGGACAAATAACTAGTTTTGCAACCGACTATCAAGAAGTAAGCACTGGGAATGTGAACAACATTTCGATCAGAATAAAATTGAAAGCGAGTAAAATGAAAATATGAATCTATAGAAGATGCCTCGCCAAGCAAAATCAGATGAAAATTGCTTTAGTTTTTACAATATCAATTAAGTACGGAAGTAAGGATGTGAGTGGGAGGAGAAAGATGACAAGAAAAAAAACTTAAGATTTCACTCAAATTTATGCGAATACTATAATAAGAATAGAGCAAATCTTAAAAGTTATATTATAATAAATCATATATTATGATTCAACTCTCTCAAAATTATTCGAATTTTAGTGTTTAGGAATTGAACTAAGTACTTTGACACTCTAAAAACTTAAATTGATTAAATTCAATGTTTTTTTGTTTATTAATTTAATTAATTTTTTGTTTTCTTTTCTTCTTTTCTTTATAGGACTCGAGTGCTGCTAGCTTTTTGGAAACTTAATTTAAACAGAAGTGAATGAAATATTTTAATCTCGCTTTCGAATCTATTTGAAGTCCAGTTAAATTTGCTTTTTTCATCTCTATCTTTACCTCGTCGCATTACAACGTTGTATTTACCCTTGCTGCTTTGGAAAACTTGCTTGTTTGTTAGTTGTTGTTTTTTATCACCTTTTGCTGGGAAACAATTTTTAATGAAGCACTCGAGAGCCAACACCCAGCTGAAGGGACGACTCTCGACTCGTCGACTGCGAATTGCTGATGTGGCCAGAATAAAGTTGAAAATATTAACAACAGCTACAGCAACATCGACAACAACAACAACAACAACACTCAACATCGACAACGAAATGGCAGCCCCCAGGCACAACTTCAGTTCAGCTGCGGCTGTGGCCGTGGCTGTTGCATGGAAAAGTCAAAGGTTCACAAACCTATTGACATGTCAAATAATAATCTCTTTTGCCCTCTTTCCTTCCCTCTGCGACTGTCCTACGTTGTTATTTACACTTATGTGTCGGGCTTTGCCCATTTCCACTATTTCGTTTTCCATTTCGTGTTTCGTTTTCATTTTTTGCACACTTTGCAGTTTCACCCAACTTTCAAATTGTCTGTTTGCCTGCTGTGGATGCCAGCGCTTGAAGCGTTCTCCCTTTAACTAGCTGAGCGCACGGGCTGTCGCCTTTCGCTGGGCCTCACTGTAGCTTTAAAATATGCAACGCGAGACACGGCAACAGCCAGCACATGTCGAGTGCCCGTAAAAGCTAAACTATTGCAAATTGTTTGCATACTTGCAGGCGCGCACGTGAAGAACAAGCTCATTAAGCACACACACACACACACACACGAGCAAAAGTACTTACACACGCACACATACACACACGTCGGTATGCAAACTGACAGCAAAGAAATGTGCGAGAATTCAAACAAGTAGCTGAACATGTTTGTTTGTGTACTCTTTAAGGCTAGACTATATGCGATTTATAAAAAAAGCGAAAATTAAATAGGAAATTGAAGGCAATTAAGAAAATTTGTATTGAAAGGTTTCATGCATTGTATATCCCATGATTTCCCTCCTGTAACACATGATCAATTTATGTAATTATTCCACACAATATAAAGACTTAATTCCATCAGATGTGATTTCTTCCTTACCTTAAACACAAAACTAGATTAAGTAATATAATAAAGACTATATAGACAAGAAGAGTATATCGACTATACCGCCTTCGATTACTAGATCACATGGTATGGACCACATACCCGACCATATGTTAGGTTATTGGGAACCCCACGTCTGAAGCCAAACGTCTGCTACTCACAACACACACACACACACACATAGTCATCACAATCGTCCTTTTTTGGCGAAGCTGTAAAGTGTGCAAGATGCAAATGTAAATTGCAAGCGGCAAAGGCTTTTAAAGTGCGAGACAAGTGCGCCGAGTGCCGACTGAAGCTGATTGTTTGCGACGTTAATAATGGGCGTGGCACACACACAAATACACATGCATATACATAGAAGAGTGTGGATATTGTGAGGCAAAGTCACCTTGGATATGTCCGCTCTTTCAGATAGCTTTTAAAAGGAATTTAAAAGGTTTAGCAAAAAATGGAAGTTGGAAGAAAGTTAAACAGAGATAGATAAAAGACAGAGGGAAAGAGATAGAGAGAGGGCGCTAATACATGCTTCAATCAAATGCAAATTATGCTCGAAGGGGAGACTCACCTAATGCTGTTGCTGCGATTCATGCGCGGGCTCTGCACGTAGGGCGATTCGTTGCCCTGCACTGGCATTTGCCCCACTGTGCCCGAGCCGCGGTTGTGCAGCATCTTGTGTCCGTGCCGAGTCATTGCCGGCGAGCCAATCTGCATCTGGTCGATTGAGTCGCCGTCGGAGAGGCGGCTGCCCGCCGTATTGCTATGCTTCAGCCACATGGCGTACGAGCTGTACTCGGGCTTCACCTCGGCGTAGGTCTGGGTATCAGAGAGCGAGCCATCGTGACGAGTGCCGCCGCCACGAGTCGAGATTCTATGGGGTGGAGGGAAGAGCAAATAATATCATGTAAGTAAAGACATTTCACTGTTAGGATTGCATTTGATACATTGATTGACATGGATTGATGTCGGTAATAGAGAACCATTATTGACCACTACAGATATTTAAAAAATATTTGACTGTTTTATTGTTTATTCAGTCAATATGACTGAATGCCTCATAGAGTGCTCAATAGATTATTTGATTAAGAACTGAGTTTTAGATTGAATACCGTATTGACTAACTGGCTAATTGATTGACTTCTTTGAGTATTCTTCTCATTCATTAACTAGATGATTGATGCTGCATATACGTTAATTTCGTAATACTATATTTTTTCTATATATATTTACTTTATATACAATATGACTGAATTATTGATTGATGATATAAGTAGATGTAATAATATCTAGATAGTACATATTATAATTTCTGTAATTGACTGTTGGATATAATGATAGAGTAATGCATTGATTGAAGAGGTGAATTATGATTTAGTATGAATATTTAAGTGAAAGACTAACAGCATGTTCGCTCAATATCTAATTGACGGACTATATTTGTGATTGAAGATTCTACTGACTGATTTATCTATTGATTACCTGTTTTAATGATTTACTGACTGACTGCATATTGACTCAATTGAAGTAATCTTAAAGTGATTAACATAAGTGAAAAGTGTGACTGTCTGGGTGTTGATTGATTGAGTTATTGACAGTCTATATAGAGTGATGAATACTAGCTACTAAACAAGCTAACGGATTGTAAGGCGAGCCTTATCGATTTATTTCTTATACTTCCTTATACACCCTGATATACTTTCCCAACAATCTTACCTGTGCTGAAAGACGTGCAAATCGCTGCCTGGCTTGGGCAGACTGTGCGAGCCCGTGGCAAGGCGCTCCCGTATGGACTGGCTCAGCTGTGTGGCCGTCGGACCCGTCAGCGAGAAGCTGCGATGCTGCGTGTTCGGGGGCAGCTCTGAAAGGGAAAAACTCAGATGAATAAATGGGACCAAGGGGGGGCGGCTGTCCACTCACTGTTCATGTCATTGGGCAGAGTTTGAGTGCCGCCTGTCACCTTGCGGCCGCTGGCAGTGCGCGGCACCGCAGACACGTGGGCGGTGCGGCCGCAGGGCAGGCCGTTGACCATGCCCTGGCCACCGCCCACGGCCATCAGCATGGCTATGTTCTGCTGCTCCGCCGTGGAGGCGATGCTGCCATTCGCGCGCTTCACATAGCCAAAGCTGGGCGGCACGCCCTTGGTGCGCGACGAGGACGCCGACGGCGAGCTCTGCTTGGAGGAGTTGCCGCTGCCGCCGCCCATGCTGCGACGCGACGGCGACGACTTCTCCGACTTGTCCGCCTTGTGCCCGTTGAGCGGCTCTGGCATTTTGGTCCAGTTGTCGCGTCCGTTTCGTGAGCCCGGGCGGTGATGTGGACTGCCGTCCATTTTGCTGCTGCTGCTGCCGTTGTTGTTGTTGTTGTTATTATTGTTATTGTTGTTGTTGTTGATGTTGCTGCTGTTGCTGTTGCTGTGATTGGTGCTGGAGCCGCCGCTGGAGCTGGCCTGGCTGGCCGCCGAGCTGCCGTTGGCAGCAGTGCCAATGCTATCAAGCGAGCCGCGACTGCTGCGAATGCTGCACAAGAGAAAAGAGGAGAGAGAGAGAGAGAGAGAGAGAAAGAGAGTAAATTAGAGGTGTGGTGGCAGTTGGCAAGGTAAATAGGTAGATATGCTAATTTACGTATAATAATGCTCATCAATGAATTCTCTCAAAGTCTATTCCGTCAGGAAGAGGGACACAAATGATTATTGATTTTATATTGCTTATCTCAATGGTGATATTGACATACCCCATACAAATTCATGAAAACTTACTTATAATATCATGAGCATTTACTCCAAATGCCAAACTTTTTTTTTAATATTTAATTTTTGTCTCTACGCTCTAAGCGAAGTCATAACCGGATTCCACTGTATTTATATATGCATAAGGGGTTACGAAGTCAGTACTCAGTCGATCATGGCCCACAATGGCCCACTCCCATGTTCATTTACCATTTCAACTGATTCTCAGTTATATTACACGCTCGTAATGGACTCATGAATTAGGGTCAGCTGTTTCGAAAGGACTCTCAACTACAGAGGCCTAATTGTCTTGCTAAAAGAGCTGACCTCAGCTCAGCTCACACCCCAGGCCTGTGCATGTGGATGGCTGTCAATTAAAAGCGGCAATTACACAAATATGTTGGCCACGTCTGACTGCCAACAGTGCTGGCAATAAGTATGTTCCCCGCCCACCGAACACGTGCTGCGAGCCACTGCATAAATTAGTGACTAAATTAAAAATTATACAACAACAATTTTAAATAGCTCGACACGAACGCTAACAAACACCTAAAAAACAAAAATAAGCTAAAACACGCTAAAGCGCACCGCGGGCCATTTGTTTATGGCCCTTTGCAGCTCTCGTCGCCGTTGTTGTTGTTCGACCGGCCAACCAAATTACGTTCTGTGCATGAAATTAGTTTACCATTGGTCCAACTGCCGACTCGAGAGCTTTGGCCAAAACAGTAAAGGCCAACTGAACCGAAAGCCCGCCTCGAGCCGGACATGCATGGAATTTGCTGCTGCCACAGAAAAATATATTACGAATGCGTTCCTGCCAGCAGGATAATATAGTAGGACCCGAGCTGGTACTGCTCGAGGTAATGTAGAGTAAACTACTCTTAAACACAAAAGGCATAGACAGGCGAATAAAATATGGCGAAGGGTTACTGGAGCGTTCACTGAAACAGAGTGTAACCTCAATAGAATTAGTTATTCTGTTCAGCTAAAGTAAAGCCTCGCTATAAACTTGACTTTATAATGTCAATATTTGTGTATGTTTGAATGCGAGCTGCTGCATCTTATTACCTCTTTTTGTGCTCGAGCAACATATTGATCACATTTCATATCAGACATAAATATATATATAAATAAGTACATTTATATGTAAAGTGAATAATACATTTGTATACCGTGTAAATATATATAATTTAATTATTTAGTCAAGATATTTAATTATTTAAAGCTTCCTCTAAATGTGTTTTATTTCTGTTATGGCTACCGTCTGCTTTCTCCTAGCCTTCTTAACGTTTATTAATGGCATATCCCTTGCCCGCCTCCTGCTGCCTCTGATGACGTCTTCTGCTGTTTTTTCGACAGCTTTTCCAAATTTATGCGCCATTTTCTTTTTGCGTTTCGTTTTCCGCTGGGAATGGCAATTGGAATGGTCAGCTGTTAGGTTTTTGTATTGCATTTCAAATGAATTGCAGCTTAAGAGTTCAGGCGAGTTCACGCGCAAAGCCATATACATATGCGATATAGGTATGTGTGGTACACTTGGAGAAAAGCTCGAGTCTATCATAAATAATAATAGAAACTTTTGAGGCACTTCCTCATTTTACCAGAATATACCAATTGACAATATGAACTCATTTCAGTTTGTAGAAATTCTGGTTCATACGTCTTCTTCCTCAAAGTGTACATATGTTGCATATAGAAATTAATATATGTATTTGCTTTTGTTTCAATTTTCCTTTTTTCCGCTGGCAGTTGTCTGTCATCGTTTGAAAGCCATTTGGGTTGGGGCACATGTGGGTCATTTGCCAGCGCCACCAACTGACGTGGCAATCGTTATTGATTTTACCGACCTACAGCCCCCGCCTGCCCCCACCCCAACCCCTGTCTCTACACCCCTCCCTTAGCCCTTCCCTTTGCATATTGAGTGTGCGACAATTTATGAGCTTTATGTGTCACTTCTGACGCTCACTTTCACTCTCCTACACACAGATACACTCCCACACACACACACGTTAAGCAGACAGTCACGCATATTTCCAAGGGCTGCCCCTCATCCTACTCGGCTTTTGAGCACCCTTCCTGGAGTGGACGTCTCAGTTACAGCTCGTTTCTCTTTTTTTCTGTGCTGCTTCTTGTTCGCTGTTATTGCTGTGTGGTTCACCCACTCCACCGCCACTCCACTGCCGCCTCACAGAGAGCTGGCATATCTAAACGGTAATTGCTTGCCAGGGCGTAGTTGCGTTTTATGGCCCAGACAGCTGTTTTTCAGCACCCTCCGCATACCGGAGGATTCATTCACGCGCTTAAATCATAGCACACTATTCAGCGGAAATTGCAGAGCTCTTAAAGCCGCCGAGCCACCTACCACAATTATCTAATTTATCAGCCTGCCCAGTGCAATTGAATCAAAAGCGCATAGATCTAATCTCTCTCTCTCTCTCTCTCTCTCTCTCTCTCTCTCTCTCTCTCTCTCTCTGTCT